ACTCTTATGGGGACACATTGTGGGGAATGATTTTTAGTTAAGAGAATGTAATTGGGATTCATCTCCAACTTAACAATTGTGAAGGCCTTCCTTCACCAGAGTCTTGGCCTTCCAGACTCTACTATGAACGTCGAGAATTTGCCTGCATACACCCTCTTCCCAGTCCTCAGTTTCCCACAGTGTACATGGACGTGAACTCAGAAGAACCAAAACCTGTGGATTCAGCCATTGTGGGAAATTTAAGGCCAGTCAAGGTCAGGGCTACAGACTGATTCAAAGTGGTCCAGTCATGGCCTATGGAAACAAAGGCAGCATATGAAGTGTGTAGCAGCAAAATCCGCATGTTGCCAAAATCAGATTTTTGAGGAAACAGGCAGCGTTGCCCCTCTCAAAGATGGCAGCCAACCAACACGTTTTAAGTGGTTAGGTGGTCACGATCTTTGAGCAAGGTGTGGGGTCCCCTCCCATCAACCAAAACAGTCCCCAAGAAGCAGCTGTGCAATTAGGGAAGAAAAGGACGACGGACAGTGGGGTCAGGGACTCTCCTTTCCAGATGTCAGCATCAGGAGCGAGCAAATGTATTTTCCAGCGGGTTTATATCGTTTGGGGGCATGCAAGCCCCGTCCATCACATATGTAGTATGATGCGTAGTGTCTTAACCTTAGATGTTCCTGAACTCATTGAGTTAGGAACCCAAGACCAGTATTGCAGGCAGGCATCAGAAGGGGATTGACTGACCTTTGAATGGGAAGGACAATAGAACTTGTTTGCTCTCTGAAATAGGTAGCCTTGGGTCTCATAGAGAGGAGCCATGCGCTTCTAAGAGGCGTCTTTAAAACACTATTATGGGGGGAATATTGTGAGGAGGATTTTTAGTCAGGCGAAGGTGACTGGGGTCATCCCTATCTCACAAATGTGAAGACCATCCTCCACAATTGTTAGTCGTCCAGACTTTTAATTATGAGCGTTGAGAGTCTGTCTGCATCCATTCTCTTCCTGGTCCTCAGTTTCCCACAGCAAGGCATTACTGCTTGTTTCCTACTAAGTTCAAAATCCCAACACATGGCATATTTGGCTGCTGTGCAGTGCAAACACTGCCCTTATTTCTGTTATCCCTGAAATCAGCTGGTTTGAACCAGTTTGAATCCCTGGTCAGGAGAGTAAAGAACAGGGGAGTGTGAAGGAGACAGAACTTCTTACTTTGTTGCCTAAGTAAATAGCAGTACGAATACATTCTTATGCCGGTTACCTCTCTAATTAGGTGATACATTCTTTGGTGGTTTGTATATTTTCTTGAGGACAGGACAAAATGGAACATTATTACATAGTGCCTTTGAAGATGAATAAAGGTAAATGAAGTAGCCAAAGTATTTTTTTTTTCAGTGAAGGGCATAAGATCCTTACAATTGCATCAATAAGCTACATCATAAGAAATGGAGAAAGTACTGAAGTTGCCAAGGATTACATTTGACTTGGATCCACCGTTTCCTGGGAAGTAGCAGTCAAGAAATAAGCGATGTATTGCATAGAGCAAATCAGTTGCAAAAAGGCCTCTTTACAGTGTGAAGAAGCAAAGATGTCTCTTTGACAACGGAGCTGTGCCTGACTTTAGCCATGGTACTTTCATCATGTGCGCACACGAAAGCGGGACTGTGAATGAGGAAGACTGAAGGATGGATGCCTTTGAATGAGGGTGTGGCTGAAGGATATGAAAAGGACTCGCAGAAGAACAAACAAATCCGTTTTGGAAGAAGTATAGCTAGCACGCTCCTTAGGAATGCGAATGGCAAGACAGACTTTCAACATGTTATC